TTGCATAGCTATCTATAGTTTTTCCTTAGGTACTTTGGATTGGTTTTTTTTTCCTTAGCAAGTACTTTGGATTGCTTTTTTTTTCCCCAGCAATATCCATGTCTTATGATTTGGTTTGCAAAAACTTCTGTGATTGTTGTGGATTTCTCTTTTATGATTTTATAAATTGATTGCTATTTGGGATTGTTTTGGTGCCTTAGAGTAATTGATGAGCAAGTAAATTAAGATTTAAATTTATTGTTGTGGTTTAATTGTTCTCAATTTTCCGTTAGATTTCATCATGTTATTTCCTAACCCTTGCTCAATTCCATTTTGACTCTTATTGGATACTTAAGCGGAAAATAAAATGGTTGGATTTTCATTTTGGGGATTTCAGTAGTCTCCCAAATGGGTTTGGTTGAAGTGGAGGTATTGAATTCAAGTAGTTGTAGTATTTACTTATGAGTATGTAAAATGTTGTGCAATTTATTAGAATTGATTCAAGCACTAAAAAGCACTAAAGTGTAATGCCTTAAATCTCACGTTAGTGGAGAATTGTAAATGAGTATGATATATAAGCGTAAAGACAAACTATTATTAATAATTTGAATTTAAAAATTTGAAAACTTGTAAGTTTTGATTTAAAAAGTTATTAGATTAATAATGAGTTTCAATTCAGGTCATTTCAATTAGTATTAGAGTAGTTACTTCTCATAACTATAGACCTATGCTGTGAATTTCATACTTGTGGTACAATGAGTCTTGTTTTAATTGTGATTCGATTTAATAAAGACATCTAGATTTAAGTGAAGAAGATTATAACACTTAAACTCTACCTTAATGGGGAATAAGTGTGAAGACCAAATGAATCTTGATTTGAAAAATTATTATGTTAATGCATAGTGATAAGTTTTGGAAGAGTCGTTTAACAATTAGAACTATATAATATAAAGCAATTTATGCTACACATACATTTTCAAATAGAATTAGCTATGTCTCACTTACGAAGTCCAAGACTCAAATCCTAATAAAAGAGAAAAACAATATTTCCCATCCGATGGAACTCTCAAAACATTGCCCGAAAACTATTCCACATCCATGTCAAGTGACACGCTTGAAAACCCACCTTATAAAAATCATGTCTCGTACAACAAAAACAGGCAGTGGTTAGCGTTTCCCATCCGGCCAATCATGGGCTGCTTTTGTGGCTGGCTGCCGGTATGTTAAATGGTTGTTTTCTTTATTTTTTTTATCTGATTGGACAGTTAAAGCATGTTAAGAGTAGGACCAACTTTTACCTCGAGACTAATTTCTTCCATAATGTTTTCGTAGGCACATTCTTCTTATTATTAATTTAATGTATTTCAAAAATTAATTTTTTAAATATTTATTTTAAAATCTAAATCTTAAATATAACTTACAAAATTAATACTTACATATTTTAAATTCTAGCATTTTAAATTGTTAATACAATATTAATAACTAAAACACATGCAAATTATTATGTTGCTCAAAAACTATATACAACATGATGCTAATTAATATTCTTTCAGAAGTGGTAGTGTTGAACTCGAGTTATTTTTTTAAACGACAAGTTGAACTCAAGTTACTGCACTACCTAATATTATGAAAATAATTAAATGACTGAAAAGGTACCTTTACTTTCAAGAAAATATTAATTTTTACCTGTTCTATGCTTAAGTGATAGAATTTTCTTAATAAATTAAAATATAAAATTAAAAACTAATAGTAACAATCTTACTAGTTCTAAACAACTACACATTTATTATGAGTTTTACAATTATTTTTTAGTGTAGATGGTTTGTTTTTAATCCAAATAGGAAAAGGATTAGCATTGAATGGAAACGTGTTCAAATTTATTCAAAAACACCCTAATCATTAAACCAAAGAAAAAAATATATATTCCTTTCAATTAGATTTAGTTGTTTTATTTTAATTTTTTATTAAATTTGATCAAATAATTTTATGTAGTAAATAGATAATAACTGAAATTTGTTTTATATATATATAGTTCTTATTAAGTGTTTTTACTTAGATCAAATTTTTTAATTTTCATTGATTTTCTATATAAAATTATCAAGTTAATTTATATAAAGTTGTGGGACTAGTACAATTAAAAAAAAAAAAACATGATGGACCACATAATTATTTCCTATATGACAGTCGGTTGAGGTTATTGCCATCATTAAATTTGTTAAGCCATCAATTTAATTGTAATTTTATTAATTTATAATTTTTTCTTAAACAGTTAATTATAATATTTAAAAATATATGTTTATAAATTAATTTTAATTTATTAAATAATAAATATTAATTATTTTATTAATTATCAAATAATATTTTTATAATCAATCAATTAAGCTAAAATTATGAAAATTTTTACTTTATTTTAACAAATTTAATACGAACTATGGTAGTGCTAGCAATATTTCATCAATCCAAAACACTAAAGAAAACAATATTTCACATCCTCCACATCAAAAAATAGAATATTTCACATCGGATAGAACTCACAATTATTGTCCAATTCGTGAAAAATTGCCACATCAATAATATCGAGCATCATAATGGCTTGAAAAAAAAAAAAAAAAAACCCCATAAGACACTCATGTCTCGTACAAGTAGAACAAAACCAACGGGGGAAGTGATCCCACGTACTCTCAGCTTTGTTTTCTCACCATCATGGATTTCTATTTTGAATTTTTTTTATACTTATAAAAAAAAAAAGTCAATACAAGAATTGCATTCGTGCCATGCATATTAGTGATATAATTTGAGGGAAAGAAAATGACATGCCGAGCAATGTTTTAAGCTTTAACTTTGTTATAATAAAGATTTTTGTAGCTTTCAGTGGGTTGAGCAAAAAGATGGAGACCATTTATATATATCCAACTTTGTGTTTTTTTTTTTTTTTTTTTTTTTCCATGTATCTAACTTGGTAACTCAAATATCTTTGTGATATTTGATGAGACAATAGGAATCACTTTCTTTGTCATCCTTCACAAATCAAAGTCTAGCTAGTAATAATGGAGTTAGTTGACAAAATTGATTATTCAAGGAGTCGTAATTTAATTGGTAACATATATTTTTTTATCACTTTAGTAGCTAAGGCTTAAGATCAAATTATTTAAAGAGATTAAGAAAGAGGTATTTTCTTATGAATTTTTTAATTTAACATTGAATGATTTACCTTTAACTAAACATGTGTTATATTAAAAGAATCAACTCGATTGCAATAAGAGTTTGTCATATTTTTTTCTTACTTGAGCCTAATGGAGACATTAAAGATTTTGGGCAAATTTATTCTTTAAAAAAAGATAAAAATAAAAGAAGATTTTCTATGGTAAAATGAATAATTAAAATTAATAAATAAAAATAAGGTTAAATTAGGTAAAAAAATTATTTCTCCCTTAAAATATGAAAAAATGATAATTTATCTTGGACAAATTTTAATAAAAAAATATCCCTTTTTTTGAGAGAGGAAGGACTATAAATAATGAATTTACTATTTTACAATTTGAATAGTAAAATACCTTTCCAATAAGTAATACTTTAAGAACTATTACAAGAGAAAACTCAACATTAAAAAAAAAAAAAAAAGAAGAAGAAGAAAGAAACATGGAACTGAAATATAAGATGGGTTATTTTACCTATTACCCATTAATTAATGTTAAATTAGATACTCCCCTCTGTTTTGGTTCATATGTCAAATTTTCATTATGAATTCGCTTCTTTTTCGAAATTCTTTCGTTTCCATACAAAGAATTGAGATCACAATGACGCTATACTGATTGCTTTTTCTTCTTCTTCTTCTTCTTTTTTTTTTTTTTTTTTAAAGCTATATTCTCATATCAAGGTCATAAATTTAAAGCTAAAGAGCCATTAACTTGCTCGAGTAAAAAACAAAGTAGGTTATCTTTCGAAGTTAATTACAGCAAAGATAAAGACTAGGCAACCAATAAAACCAAGAGAGGGTTACTTTCTTCTTTTCCCTCTCTACAATAATGTGAACCGAGCATAGCATACACATAAATTGCTAATTCAATGTGACGCTACTCCGTGACGCCTTGAAATTCTCCCAATTGGCCCAAAGTATGAGCCACCCTCCTCCGTTGAGTGTGAATTATTGGGGCCATCTTTGCTCCCAACAAAAGGACTACCTTTTGCAACCTTCAATAATTTAAGATCAAAATTTACTCTTTTGTATAAAATTTTTGTTTTGCATATTTTACATAGAGGCAATATTAACTTTAAGAGATGGCAAAAAATGTTTCGGATGGTGATAATTCACAAGAATATTGAACTTTAATAGGCCAACCCTTTAGTTAATAGAAAAATATTATTATTATTATTTGGAAATTGACTCACCAATTGATCTATTAAGTGAACACTAACTTTTTCAAAACTTGCTTATAAATCATTTTGAAAAGCTAGTTTTAAAATTTTCCTCCAACATATTTGAAAATTTTGTGAGATGAGTTCCACCAAACATCCCTTAAATTCTCAGTTTCTTAAGAAGTTTGTCTTTGGCTTTTTTAAAAGGAAAAAAAAAAATTTAAAGCACAATCTCCTGTAAAAGCAAGGTCTAGTATAGTTAAGTTTAGTTGATTAAAGACTTTGTCAATACAATTCAGAGAGAGATGAGCAGCACTTTCTATGGTTCGTAACTTCTTCAAGAAGGTTCAACCAAACACAGCTAAAAGATAGTGAGAAAACGGATAAATACCCAATCAAAGTCCGCTCCTGTGCTCCACTCATAAACCCCTTTTGGCAAGGGGGATCCAAGCCCTTAAAAAAATATGTAATTAACTATACAAAGAACCTAAAACCTAGTACGTTATTGGAAAAGGACAGCGATCCACCTTCTTATGCAAGCAAAGCACATGCTTGAAAACGGGAATCAACTGCTTTTTATCTTTGACCAAAATTATGGCCGCTATTTTATTGTGTTGTTTTTGTGTCACCATCATCCAAGGATAAGTTCTAACTACGTTAATTTTTGAACATATGAGTTTGGCATTTCGTAATTCAAACGGAATCGGATTGTAAAATATCAAACATTAGATGGGAGTTGTCTCTCAATATTAGGGATTACTTAATATTTTACGGTTTAAATTGTAACACATTTTTTTTGTGCTTGTGTGAAAATAGTTAGGAAATAAATGGACTTAAAAAATCATATGAGGTGTGCAGCTTAAAAAGCACTTGTTTTAAAATTATTATTCTCTCTCATAAGTTTAAAATTTTATTAGAGATAAATATTTAAAATTAACTTTTTAAGTAATTAAGTTTTGAAAAAAGTTATTAAAACTTATTTTAAAAGATAATTTTTGAGTTTTTCTCTCTAATAAAATTTTAAATCTATGTGAAATGAATAGTACTTTTAAAATAAATGTTTTTTAAGTTCCATCAAATGGCCTCTTAAAATTGTTAAGCATAAAAGATGAAAAACTCACTGTTTAATTATTTTTGCAAATTTGGGAAAAGGTCGGGTAGCTTCGTTGTAATTGTTGAGAAGTTGGAGGCTTTTTTTATTATTATTTGGGGTCGGGTGTTTACTGTTTAGGGGTGACTTTGGTTTCTATTGGTCCGTGGTCATGTGGTAATTAAGAATATTAGATAGCCGGATATAGTCTGATTAAAAAAAAAAACTTTATTTTTAAAGTATAAATTAAAATATTTTTTTATCATTTCATATAATACTTTATTAAAATTACATAACTTTATAATAATTTTTCTTTTAATTTTTAAAAAAGTGATGGATAAACATTAATTTCTTCAAAAAATTACTCCTAAATATATATTATACTTTCTCCATGTATGGTCGGTAAGGTAAGTTTGACTTCTTTTTTTATATATTTTAAATTATATGATGAAAGATAATTTTTTTTTATTATTTATACTTTCGCTCTATATCTTATTTTTATTTAAAAGATATTATTAATAATTCACTTAGATAGTTGACAAATAAATTTGATTTATAAATTGCATCAAGCTTGGATTTTTGAGAGAGATCTAAGAGAAGTATAATTTAATGCAAATATCTTTAATCCGACACAACCATAATCATAACATACTATATATATTATAAACTTATGATAGAATATTGACTGCGAAATTACGCGGAAATTTCAAGATGATATTAAATGCAAGAATCCAAAGAACAACAAAACTATTTTAAATTGCAAAATAAATTTTTTTAAGGAAAAAGTAATTTGACATGTGTTCTATGATCCTCATGAACCAAGTGGGACGCATGCTGTCCATTGGTACTAGCCTTCTTGTTGCTTATGCATTGTATTGTACCTACCTCTTCTGTAATTTGTGTACAAATCTATAATTAAACACAATTTATATTAAATTAATTTGTTGGCCAATTAAGGAAAAAAAAAAAAATTAACCAATTTTAAAAATCATTTGTAATTGAGGATATTTAATTTGAGGGGGGTCATGCTTTAAAAAACAGAGAAGGGTTTGTGTAACTTGTATCTTAAAAGAACATGTTAAGAGTGCGATAAATATATTTTTTGTAATTAACTCATATTAAAAATTATAAAAATTAACATATATTTTAATATCACTTACACGTAAAAGATTTTAATTAGTTAATTAATTAATTAAAATTAATATTTATACTTTCAATAAAAATTAATTATAAAAAAATATATTTATTACACATTTATTTTGTACCCTAAAAATATAAAATAAAAAATTCAATAAAGAAATGTGGAATTGTAAGTTTTTAGCGGTGGGTACGGGCCGGAGTAAATTAATGTAGGAGACCATAGTGGGAAGACAAGGATTCCATTGAATGCTGGAAAGATGAATTTAGAATCTTAATTTGTCTTTTTTTTTTTTTTTTGTCCTTTCTTCAGTTTTAAGCAATATTGAAATTGGATGTCCTTACTTCATTGGACAACATAAAGAGAGGAGGAGAGTACGGGGAGAGTCTAGAGTAGGCATGGTGGTGAACTTAGCATTTTGGTCAAGGGATTAGGTAAGTAAAAAGAGGTTTAAAATGGTATAAGATTCCACAATCAAGAAACCATAGCTCAACCATAGCTTAACCATAGTTTAGATGAAAATGGGTAAATTATGTAACAAAGCTAACCCTTACTTGTAAGAAACAATTGTCAATATTGATATGGTAAAAGCTAAAAGGTACATATCATCCCTTAAAATTGAAGTAAATTTTCATTAAAAAAATATTAACACAATTTGTCACCATAAAATTTTTTTTATGTAAATGAGAGGTAATTTGCACATTTTTTCTATCAGTATTGATTGTTCTATTTATAAGAAACAACTACCATTTATACAAATTTTAATATGAGGACCATAGGAACAAAACGTGGTTATTATTGATTGTTGTATTTGTAAGAAACAACTTCCATTTACACAAATTCTAATATAAAGACCATAAGAACAAGATGCGGCTATTGATTGTCCACTGAATAATGGTATGAGACTTTTCCTGTTATCCCAATTATAGTTCTACAAATAGGTTCACTTGAGAAGATGTGAACTATGTATACATTGCTAGCAGAATATTGTTTTTCAGTTTGACCAAAAAAATATCAGTCTGAATTAGAAATAATATAATCAAAAAAACAATATTCTTATATTGGCAACTAACTTCGTGTCTCACTTAACGGTCCAATGCTCTCCTTTTCTTACATTACATCTAATTAATTAGGTTCAGAGCTTAACCCCCAACTAAATCCCACGAAAGCAACATTCTTTTAGAAATGACCCAGTAATTGAAAACGAGGTTACTCTTATAAATTAGGGAATTATAATGCCTTACGTTTCCTTAGCTGTCTTGCAAACCACTAAAAGACTAATATCAGATTATCAGCAGTTGAATTCAACAGGATTCTCTGACCACAGGTTCATTTCACAATATTTCTCGGTATTTTATCTTTTAGTTTTCATATATTTTTTTTTATTTTAAAGATATATAAAATATTAATTAAAATAAATATTAAATATATAAAATATTTTTTATATATTTTTAGAGTGTTAAAAGAACAAAAAAAAAAAACCTACAAGCAACTACAAACCAACGATGTCAAATTAAGCCCACATTGATTCCAAATTTATTTAAGATTACTTGCTTGGTTGGACAAGAGCATGCTCCACCTTCTCTTACTTCAGCACTAAATCAGCCCTTCTCTTGACACAGATCAAACTTTCTGGTACACCAAACTGATAGTTGGTAACATGATTTACAAGTAAAATAATGAGTATTAGGACTTAATCCGAGTGCTTAATTTGATGTCAAAATCTACAAATGGTGACCTAACCACAAGAACTTGCCCCGTGTGACAATGGTCCCTACTGGATCATTAGCAAAGATTTGCTAGGTCACGAGAAGGGAATTACTCGAGGAGACAGACTCCATGGTCTTATTTTTTTCCCCCAATATTTACCTTTTTTTTTTTTTTTAAAAGAGAGTAAAGTTTAAAAAGGTTTTAAAAAGTTTAAGCCACCGACAACGGCATGAGTAAATATGCGATGGTGTGGACTGTGGACAAACTAAGCATAGGATATGGCATCAAATAGACACCTTGGTATGAACTTAGATGGGAACAAAGACTACTGTTTGTTAATGAGCCGAGATACATGATGCAATAACAGAAACAGATGGGAGAGTAAAACGATCGTTGCAAGTCCAAACCAAAAACTTATGTCTTTCAGTACACACATAGATAACGTGAACTTTATATCTTACTAATCTTCTTCCTGAATCCAACAAATGAAGAAGTTTATTTAGAGAAGCACGGTTTCATTTATGGTTAGTAACAATGACAAACAAGGCAATCGAATTTCAGTATCAGTCCTGCTTGGTATCTACCTCTCCTGCCAGCTTTGACACAGACTCTTGTGAACCAGGTTCAGGTTCCGCTCCCTCCTGTCAGAAGAATGGAAAAACATCGGGCATTAGCAACTTGAGGAGAACCATGCATGAAGACAAGTGCACACAAAATTGTGAGTTAAGTGTTAAGATCATAGTGAACAACAGAACTTTCACTCAATCAGCACCACAGGGAACGGTTCAAGCAATCAATTATGAGTTGTGCGTGACTTGTGAGAATAACAAAACACATCTCAAAATGTATGAAACTTATGTGTTTATTTCTAGAAAGTGAATGTACACTACTGAACTAGATCAAATGTAGTGGCCGACCAGGATAGGATCTTAAGGTTCACCTTTGTCAAAATATCAAAAATGTATCAACAAATCAGATCGATTGATAAACCAAGTCAAAAAATGGAGGTCAACCACCATTTATGTCTTGCTCAAAGATCCAAGTCACATGGGCCAAGGTCACACAGAATTAGTGAATTAACTGAAATAGCATATGCCAGCAAATGTATAAGAACTCAAGGCAGATCTGGTCCCTTGTAGCACCCTTTACACACGGCTAAGGGGATGATCATCAAAAGACAGCCCATAAGATCTCATTATGCAAAACAATAAAAATGGCACCTTCATCACAATGAAGCAAAAATAGCACACCATAAACCACTTCAAACACTGCACTGCCTATGATAATTATATCGAACTCTCAAAGCTTTACAGTTTAGAACTGATAATCACATGATGGATCCATACAAAGGACTAGAAACATTACAGCATCTTCCATACGAGTTTGGTTATGGCCACCCATCATTTTGTTAAGGCCAACTAAATTGTTAAAATAGCTAATAGCTAATAACTAATAAAACAACTGATATTTATTATTTAACAAATTAAAATCAGTTTATAAACTGATATTTTCGGATATTATAATTAGATGTTTAAGAAAAAAACTACTAATATCAGTCAAACTAAAAAACTTTTGGGTGGCCATAACCACACCACTTCCATACTACAAAACAAGCCTAGAAATAAATAACCGAGGGAACTAATTCCAATCAAAACAATCAAAAGGAAATAAATACATATAATTTGCTTGTAAAATTACGTACTTTACTAGTGACATCCTTTTTGGCAGCTGCTGGTCTATAAGGACACGCCGGAGGAACCCTTTCCGGTTTCCGATATTCCCATCCAAAAAGTCCATAGATTTTTCCCTGAAAGTTCAAATAACAAGAAACAATTCATCCATAAAAAAATTCAGAATTTAAATAATAATCGAAGAAGAAGAAGAAGAAGAACAATTGGGATTTAGAAACAAATGAATTTTAAATTCACCATGATGTAATCGAAGAGAAGAGGCAATATGTTGACGACCGGGATGAGAAAGAGTGGTAAGAGGCAAACTAGACAAACCTGAAAACAATGTCGAATTGGGAATGGAATGAGAACACAACGAAACAACAATTACTAACGATAAACAGAGAAACTGGAAAAAAATTTACCATATTTGAGGGATTTTGATGAAGATTAGCGATTGAATCGGGAGAATTTCAACGATTTTGTTCCTGTGATTTTTGAGGGTTTTGAACTTTTGATCTGAATTCTAAAGCCTGAATTCTAAAGTCTGCACAAGAATACTCGGGTCCTAATTCCTAAAATTCTAATGGAATAGGAGCGGGTTTGTTTTCAATCCGGATCCAATTTGCTCGGATACCCCAACCTTTTTATTTGGGCCAATAGAAGGTTTATTTATTTTTGTTTTTCAAGTTTTTCATCTCTTGGGAATTTAATAAAAGGGTTAAGTGTTTATTCATTTTATCTTCAAAAAATTAAAAAAAAAAAAGATAAAAATTACTTTAATGTATGCTTTAAAAATAAAATAATTTAATTTTTTTCAATAAAAATTTATTGAAATGACGTAATTTTAAAATAATTTTCCTTCTAATCTTTAAAAAATAAAGCTGATAAACATTTTTTCCTTTAATAAATTTTTTATAAAAATATATAACTCTTATTTTAGCTTTTTCTTTTTATGGATATTCTAAATAAAGTTAATTTTACACCATACTCATTATATGAATTAGTATTTTTGATGTTTCATAAGTAGTAGATTTCAATTATAAATTTTTTTTTATATGTTAGATAATAAGTTATACGATAAAAACAATCCTTTCTTTACAAACTCCTTGTTACCAATTCCACAATACTAACATGAAAATTTAAACTCTGAACCATTGGTACGTTGCTTAGAGGATGTGGATTTCAATTATGAAAGTAAATACAGAATACATGAATATGTTAGCCCATACCATGAATGAGTAGGTCATCAACACAATACAAGATGGAGAATCAGAGAAACATGTCTTACTAGTTGTAGATGCAGTTAGGACTAGTATGAATTTTAAACCTTCGGACTATAAAGCACTTCCATTAGGCCAAGTGTCAAATATATGATTTAAAAGTATGCAATTCAGTGACAATAAACGTATCCTATTTAAAGGAAAACCTTGTCTGGAATCAGTATATACCATTGCTAACATGACAATATATTTGCTTTCCAGCCAAGAATAACTTTCACTAGATCCTTATGTAGTCTTGCCCTTACAAGGGACGTCAGTGCAGCGACAAACAGGTCTACCAGAAGCCTCCCAGCCATTGAAGCCACGCTCCAATACCAGCACACTTTTTATTCCAGTGTCTTCCTTCGTCTCCTCTAGATGACTGGCAAACTTCCTGGCACAAGTTGGGCCACGGACCTGTAAACGAAGTACCAGATATATCCATCACTCAACAAAGCCATTCTGCTTGATCAAGGTCTTGAGTATAGTGCATCATTAACAAGACGAAGAGACATGGGGTGAACTGTTGTGAGTAGTTTTGATAAATAATACAAAGTTACAAACTACTCATGTGAGTTCCAATAACATGGTACTGCCTCTACAAACTACAAAGAACCAATGCAGCATTGTCAAACATGTGCATGAAACTTTATGATCTATCTAATGGCAATGTATTGCTACATGATTTCAATGAACAGAAGGCTGGGACCTGGAAGAAAATAGCTTTCGTGAGATAGGGACAAATATATAGATTACAGAGTTTCATTCCTGATGATGCTCAGAAGAATGCATGATGATAGACTGCATTCTTATCAAACAGAACCAGTTAAATAAACAAAAATGAAGAAGTCAGAGATTGCATCATATGGCAGAACTGCAGAAGGAAACCTCAAATACCAGAAATTTAGCAAATACTCAGCAAACATATCACGCTAGTTCATATGCTATTTCTTCAACAGCATGTCACTATCAGAGATCATGTTGGATCTGATAAAGTTCATGCAGGATATCCAATGTCATTTGTATAAGCAGACAAGGAAGCTGGTTAATCTGTTGACGAACCTTTAACCATATCAAATTTGGAACAAGGAGTGAAGTTGATTGTGTAAAGCTGTTCAATTGACTAGTGAACTATGAGTTAACAAGCTGCAAAGGAAAGGGGCCTAAGAAATCCAAACAAGGATAGAACCCAGAAGATACAGCATCTGAGACTAATAAATGCAGGATGCATGAAAAACACTTTGAGCAAGCATAGCTCTCTCCCCAAACTCAAAAGAAACTATCAAGTGCCAACCATAGATGCCACCATGCCAGGCTAAGCAAAAAGGTGGTTCAAAAGAGATAAATCCTTATGATATGAAGCACTGGTAAGGTAATACACGTTGAGGCAGATAATGTTTGATGAGAAACTGCTTGAATTGCTTATATGGCAAACTCAACACAAGATGAATGTACATGAGATAGAATGTAGATGAGACATCGTTTGTCTGGAATTAAATAATCCTACCCAACAAACTGAGATAAACCTTGCAACTTGCAAATTTTCACATGGAGAAAACTTATCTGTGAGAAAAGACAGAAGGAAAAATAGTTGCAAAGTCAACCAAATGCCACTAATTTGGTAATTCCTCATATCCATGTCCAGATTTTTGGCATATGACAGCTACTTGAAATGTCAGTGATAATAACAACAAAAACTTTTAAAACCTACCATCTAGTTAAATGGACTTTTAAGAAACACCTAAATCCTCTAATGCATAAGAAGAGAATCCAACCAAGATGAAAAGCTACTTCAATTAGCCCATCAGACATCCTAAGTCAAAATTAGATAAAAATCAACTAATCACAGATAACGGCGAGGGGGGTCGATAAAACAGCTATGCATTGGAAAAAAGATAACAACTTTGAAACCAAATAGAGTCGAAACAAGAACAAAACCTGGCTTAAAGCGCAATGGAAAACAAGGGTATCTTTCCCTTTGACATCTTGAATCAGATCGGATATCTTATCACTGAAGGTGTCACTGGCGTAGTGCAGAGACCCCGCTATGTGCCCATCATAACTCCTCTCTTCGTCCCTTAAATCATCGCAGACGAGAGAAGAAGAATAAAAAACTGAGCCAGAAAAAGGAAAGAAAACAGGAGAAAGAGAAGGTTTTGATTGAACCTGACGTCTATTATGGCGATATTTGGGCGTCGCCTGAGGGAGAGAAGCTGCGCGCCGGTTATGTAAGAGATTGTTTGAGCCATTCAATCTTCTTCTCCGCTAGTATGCTGCTCGTTCAGCCGTTCTGCTTTTCGATGCCGATTACGATTTGCGCATGGTTGAAATATTGGTCTCTCACTTACCTTTCGAAGAAAAACTTCTTACAGTACATCTGGACTGGATTGTAATATCATAACTATCAAAAGCAAAGGCTTCTTAATTTTGTTGGTATTTATATTTTGTTATTGGTAATTATATTGGAGTCTAAATAATTTAAAATTGTATTACATTAAATTTTATTAAAGAAAAGCTCTCCCATAATTTATTTTTTCATTCACAAAATTCAAATTTAAAAACTTATTTAAGGAAAATCTAACTCTTCCTACTAGTATTAACCAATCATATTAACAAATCATTAAATCAAAAGAAAAGGAATCTTAATATTTGGTCCTTCTATTTATTTTTTATACAGATATACATTTGAGATGGGATTGGAATCTCACCTAGGTTGAGATGCATCTTTTAATTTGATTTAAAATAATTGGATAGCAAGACTTAGGTGTTCCCTTCTAATTTTTTGATGACATTGATTTTATAGTTTGTTATAGGATAATAGGGTGGTTTTTTTCTTTTTGCTAATCTCTCATTATTTGAAATTAATTACTTTAAAATTAAGTTACATAAAAAATTCTTACCATGACTTTTTTTTATTTATAAAAATTAAATTTAAAATTTTATTTAAAAAATTAAATTTTTTCTACTAAAACTAATAGGTCATTAATTACTTAAACGACTGTTTGGCAAGCTAAAATATAGCTGGTTATTTCTTTATTCTTTTAACATGAGTCATTAAGTTTTTGGTCCTTGGTAATCCTACGGATGGATACTTGTAATTTATTTTATAAGTATGGCGTAAAAATTGATGTTTAGGGTTTGTTTGGTACAACGGTTAAAATTCAGTGGATAGTAGATAGTAGGTAGTGGATAGCGATAACAGGTAGCAGGTGTTGGTTAACGGATAACAGATGGTGACTAGCGAAAAGTGAGTAACGGATGGTAAATAGTGAATTTGATAAATATAACTGTTTGGCTATACAATGATTAGCGATTGTTATTTAACATTAAATGACTAATAAGGACAT